ATAGTGCTGGTTACTGGTTATGATTAATGCAGTGAAAAGTCTGAGTACCTTTAGCACAAGAGTAAAGAAAGCATGATAGCCAGTTTGGTGTATTTGTGGTTCTCAACCTTGACAATTTTAAGGCATATGGATTTCAACTCCCAGAATTTCACAGCCAGCAATGCTGGCTGTGGAATTTTGAGAGTTGAAGTCCACATGCCTTAAAATTGTCAAGGTTGAGAAACACTGGACATCAAGCTACTATGAGTTCAAGCCCTGCCTTAGGCACAAAGCCAGCAGCTGTGTGACCTTGGGCCAGTCACTTTCTCTCAGTCCTAGGAAGAAAGCAACAGAAACTACTTACGAAAAATCTCGCCAAGAAAACTGCAGGGGACTAGTCCAGGCAATTTCTGAGAATTATAGTTTTTACATGGGACAAAGAAAACAATTGCTTACTAGCAGTAAAACACGCATCAGTTGCTCCCCGAATATGTAGTTAAGGCAGACTTGAGAGTTGGATAGGGCCCTGGGACAGATTTTGCCACTTGTGTCTAAACACTGTCAGCAGAATAAATTATGTATAAAAACAGATCTATAACACGCGCAATAGGGATCCCACATAAGATGTTATAAGCATTGGACCTCTCTAGTGAGTTTAACCACTGCACAGCATTGTAATCCTTGCAAATTATTCAAAATACTTGTTAGGTGCTGTTTATATCCAAGTTCAATATTTCCTGCAAAACTAAATGAACTTTCTAAAGTTACATGAAACTGGTCCAACCAGCGTGGAGATTTCTGTAGCTTTCTGATAGTACTATAGAAATAATTTCAAAAAAATAAACACGGAAACAAGGAGACATAATACAAAACTAAACAAACTCAGGTGCCTAGATTTTAGTATAGTTAAGTAGAGAAGTTTCATTGCTTTCCGTCCCGCTGTTCATTATTCATTCTGCAAGTTGCATATTGTTGGTCAAGAACCCAAATGATCCTTGCCCATCTTTCCACGGAGCCCCAAAATGTACTTTGGTTATACTGTATTACTGACAAGCAATAAGAACGGAGTTTTTTGTTTTTTTTTAAAGAGTCAGTCAAGAGTTTTGAGCCGCTTGTGCCATCGCCCGTCATTTCCCGATGCTCGGCCATGTGGCATCGCTGTTTTCGACGAAGAGTCCTCGTTTGAAGGGCTGCTCGCCCTAAATTCAACAAGTCCCCTACTCACAGTCTCCCTGCGCCGGAGGAACGCGCGAACTCTCCCTAGTGGAGAACCAGCGGCAGTTCCCGTCCCTTTTCCGGTGCGAGGCGCGCGCGCGCGCATTCACAGCCCTACTCCCGCTCGCACCAGCCGACAGGCTGGCCGCACGCGCTCTCCTTTCTCTCGTGCATTTCCTAAAGTAGGAGGAAAGCCAGCTTCCCCGAGTCCTCCGTCTGCAAAACTGGGGAAGGACGACAAAAAATGCTTCAAAGTGAACAGCTCTGGGAGCCAGGTTTGAAACCGGGACTGCCGAAAACGGGAGCCCCGCCGCCGCCGCCGCCCCCCCTTCTCCCTACAACAGCCTCTCGCCCTCGTTTTATTTTTTTAATCAGATCTGAGATCTCATTGGAGGGAGTTCAGTAAATGAGGACATTTCCAGGACTGCGTGGCTTCTGCTGTTACTCTGGCACTGAATTGCCTCCGCGACTCACGAATGCATTAATGTTGGACTGCGAAATCTAATGAGGAGGAGGAAGAAGGAAAAAAGCAGGCGTTGATAGTGGTTGGGGTCTCCGGGAAGATTTTTTTTCTCTCTTTTTTTTTTTTTTTAAATCTTGGTGTTATCTTGCAGCAGATGCTCTTGCGAGAGTGGATCGTTCCTCTGCAAGCTTGCAGAAGTGAGCTGATAGAGATGCATCATCGCAAAGGAACTGCACTGACCTTTACTTATTTCTAAGGAAACGCTGTAAGGTAAGCAACCTCGCGCTGCAAATCAGCCGAAATTCTGGGAAAACTGCAGACACTGCCCCCAGATTCCCCAAGGATCAGAGTGCCTGACAAGCCTCAGCATCATGCTGGAATGAGGCTTCGGGAGAATAGTGAGTTACCATGGCTGCCTAATTAAAACTTCGCAGGGAGAGAAGTATGAGCATGCATATACGAGACGCGTAACATTTCAAGGGGGGAGGGCGAAGGAGACAGAAAGCGGTTTGTTATGCAATAGGACGTGGCTCCCCAACATTCATCGGTTGCACCTTACAAGTTTCACGGGAAATGAGCGGGGGTGCGGAGAGCTGAGGGAATACTACTCCACATGTCCTCGAATTGCACTCTTCTAGAAAAACAAATGCCCACAAATTGGGTGACTGGCTATTCACTCCACGAAGTGCTGAGGCGGTCGTGTTGCTGCTTTTCCCGGGCGTAGATTTTGCAACTAATCTCTCCGCTGGTTCTGAAGATTTTCGTCGCCGCCGCCGCCGCTACTACTACTCGTTTTTCGTCCAGAAATGAGACTGTAGTGACATCCGCCCTTCGGGCTGCATGATCACGGAGACTATACCGAGTAAATAAACGTGCCGCTAAGTTGGAGTGCGGTAGAGAACTTCCCACAGAAAGACACACCGCGGACCTCCTTGATGCGATTATCTAGGCTTTGAAGCCGGAGGTGTATGAGGAGAACCGCTCTCCGAAAAGAACGAAACCTTTGTTCCTCCTCCCCCTTTAAAGCCCACTAAGCCAGGTAACCCCATTCATATGAACCAGGTACGGAAAAGAGGGCAAAAAGCGCGGATCGGGATTCAAAGCCACAGCGGCCAGCTCGCCGGGACCTTGCGTCCTGCTGCCTCATGCTACCGGGGGGGGGGGGAGGTGTCCGCCTTGCGTCTTAACCACACGAAAATCCTCTCCTGTGACCTCGGCTTCTCCACTTAATAAAACGCTACAGCGAGCTCCAATAATAACTGGGCGCAAAGATTGCAGCTAGAGAGAGCCTGGCTTTGGAGGAGGGGGATAGAAAAGGCTGGAGAGTTCGAATGCAAGCTTCAGACCGTCTTTGGAAAACCCTGGAACAAAATGCTGTGCTTCTCTGAATGTGCCTCCAAAGAGCCTGTCCCAAAGGAGCAGCAGCAGCAGCAGTCTCTCCCTGTACTGCAAAGCTAGAGCAGGCAGTGAAGTGGTATAATTTCGACCTTGCCCGTTGAAATGGGTTAGATTTGACAGGCACAGAGGGGATTACTTAACTCATTAGTAGCTGGAAAAGAGATTAGAAGATCATTCACTGCATCCCAATTTTGGAAAGTAAATGCATGTTGTAGTAAAATAATGGTACAAAGAATTGCCCATGTGTTCCTTATCTTTCTGCATTCTGAAGCTCATACCTGTCATATGTTCTTGATATGTAGGTTAAGATCAAGATTATGGATGAAAAATTACTAGGCAGGCATCACATGATGTGGCCATTCCATCATGATGCATATACTAATAATTTCACTAAGTTTTTAATAGAGATGTTAAACTAGAAAGATAAAACTAATAGCTGCATGTATGTGTGTGCGCGCACACGTGCGCATGTGTACATAAAATATTTAGTTTACAATAAAATTTAGTTTTTGTTATATTTATGTTCATCTTATAAGCAGCAAAAGTCAAGTTGCTGAATTTAGCAATAGATTAATCTTACTAGGTAGATAACAGCATTTTTCAACAATATCTGCACAATTTTCTCTTAAAGTGTTTTTAATCAGTTCATGTGTTTAATTTTGAATTTATATTATTTATAGCACATCATGAATTTTAAATACATTTATAGTAGGTTAAATATTATAGTTTCAAATGAATGCTGCAAAGTTATTTTATCTGAAATATTTGAACAGTAAACTATTAACAATAGAATTATGTGAGCCACCATGAAGTGTGAAATAATTGCTACTACATATGAAAAAAAGAAAGTGGAACTGTTTTTTAAATTAATTCCCCTTACCCAAAGAAATTTAGGACTGAGAAATAAAGTACATAGTGTTGTTACTTTTATATCAAATATAACAAAGTAATCCTAAAGATATATTCACAATAAATCCTATTGAATTCAAGGGAGCTCTATACCAAACACTGGATAAAGAATTGCAGCCTAATTTAAAAAGTTCTTAAATATGCCTTGAGTCAGAAGCAAGCAACTATAACCACTAATAGAAAACCAGACACCCTTAACATAATGCTGTCCAGATGTGATGGGATTAATATTCAAATTTCTAATCAACATGGAGAGGAACAGTTTAGAGAAAACTTGAACTAAAAGAAGGGATTTTTCTCTTAGAAACAATTGTAGTATCCAGTATTAACACATATGCACAGAACTTTGTAAAAGACCAGAAAAGCTCAAAAAATAGTTTTTTTTCTATATACTTTATATAACTTGAAAATAATAGTATAACTGAAAAAATACAAAATAGTAGTTTTTAATTATGATTCTGTCCCTAAACTTTACAGAATGCAATCAAACTTTTCAGCTCAATGTATTTGACCCTTTAATTTGCAATATTAGATGAAGGAACTATAGTGACATTGCCTGACCAATATGCTAGACTGCCAGATTGCATTGCCAAAGATGTTCTATAGTTCTGAAATTACTTTCTAGTTTTCATTTATAAAGGATGCTTCTGTAGGGCTCTGAGGATCTTGCCCTTAATGATATTAAATGACAAATCCCAAGTTTAAGGGTCACTTTGTTAGAATTGATTAATAATAACATAATCACTCTTATTGTTATTGATGCTGCTGTTTTGGTATTTATCAGATTTCTTTTTCCTAAGGCATATATCTGCATTTGCAACTTGAGGAAGATTTTCAGGCTGCAGTATATATAAAAAACATACTGCTAATGAATATCCTTTTAAAATCCTAATGTTTTATAAACAAGTTATGAACATAACATACAAATGTTTAATAGACACATTCATTTTGTGTGCAAAATACTCTCCCCTTTATTAATCTCACTGAGATTAAGACATGTAACTGGGTATGTTCATACCCTTCTGCATACATTTTACTGTTCAGTCAGTTAAGAGTGCAGTTGGTTAATATCTAATCCATTAAACACAGTTTACATCACTGCATGTGACATCACCAGTGAAGTAGAACATACCCAGATGATTTGGACTAATAACTAATAAAACTAATGAAATTTTGCCACATCATTTGAAAGTAGTTTTTGAACAAATGATTGAAAGCAGCATATGATGCAATTGACACTGCATTAAATGATGAGTCAGGTAGCATGTTTTTCCTTTAAAATTTAAAAATAGTTATATAAAACATGGTGATTCTGTTTGTTTGCTGGGTTATTATGACTCTAGTTCATGCGATGACTTCATCACAAACCTGTATCATTGAAAAAAATGGACAGCTCAGTAAACTCAACTGTTTTCAGGACACAATTCTCAAAGAGAATTCTATATAAATTAGCTTCACAGTTCAACTGTAAAGTTTCAAACAGATTTATGTCAAGACACTGTCAGCGTGAATAATTACAGCATAGGGTTTAACATTTTTAGATAACCTCATTCATGAATCATTACAAGTGATTAATGCTCCAGTGTACATTCATGAATAATTTAATTCACAGAACCTGGGGCTAAGGGCATAAGAAAAATTCAAAGACTACAGTAATCTACATGTAGTCTTGGGTATTCAAGAAAATACAGAAGACTATACAAACCAGATTTTTATATCTTCAACAGAAGACCCAATGTACTAGTTTCAAGATAGTAAGTGCTTGGATTTTCCCCCAAACATTTTGCAGCTTACAGTTTTTAAAATTGTTTTATAAACTGTGGCATTTGAGTTCTATTTACTTTTAGTTCTGCAGGCCAACCAAATTATTGGCAGAGTGAATTTATAAAATGCAGGAAGACAGAGATGATATATAAGATGGGGCCTTAAGTTCTAGGTGAGCAGCTAGAACAATCACAACGAGAAAAACAATCTCAAAACTATAGTACTATCAATTAAAGCATTCAACTAGGACAGAGTGTAATTGTACAATAGCATTGTTATTCCCCTCCACTTCTATTTTCCTATCTTTCAGACTCTGTCCCTTATGCAGCAAAGCTAGGAAGTTGCGCAAGTAAAGAGATAAAGGCCATGCCTGTTTCTGCGTACTTAAATATTCTGAATAGGATTTAGGACTATGCTAACATAGTTGCAGTGCTGACCGTCAATTTAGATAATTTTTAAGTAAGGGATTGAGCCAAAAATGCAATATAAATTAAATCAATACATTTATAGAGGATAAAGACTATCAGACTACTAGTTTGTATGGTTCGGTTATCTCTGATATCAGATTAATATGGATGAATGAATTTTCAGTACCAGGTGTGTTCATATATTTGTCAATTTTTCACTATTTTTTCATAGCCATAAAGGGAGCAGAATGCACAATTAGATTTGTCCTTCATCTGATCCTGCACAGCTTTTCTTAGCCTGTTTTCACTGCATCTCACTTACATATTTGATGGTTCTTTGGCATCAGGTTAGGGAAGACTGACCATAATGTTCCTTTTAAATAAATGTACTGTCTCAAAATGTTTACATTAGGAAATGCAGGAATGTTACTAAAGTAGTTATATAACAGTCTATAATTTTATTTATTTATGTACTTTCACATTGCACAGAAACTCATGGTAGTATATGTTTCTTTCAGCATAAGTTGCATTTTTCCACCACGTGGGAAAAAATCTTTTGACATTTAATTCTATATTCAGGTCATTTAGTTAGTTATTTAGTTCACAGTGAGTTATTTCAAACAAAATATTTCTACAGTAAAATATATAAAACTGCTATTGCATATAACATTTTATTAGAAGACACATGACACAGTTGTTGTGTTTTTGCAACACATCTAAGTTACTATTTCCCAAGAATTGATAATGTGTTGATGACAGAGTTCAAGTTGAACACTACATCCTTCCCTAATCTTCAAATCCTTTTTCCTTTGCCAAATACCTGGGAAGTAGCATCATAACTCATGTACAAAGAACAAGTTATAACTAAGATTCAAATGCAATGCTGATTTTATCTCTTCTATATTCATATTTTGCTATTACCTGAATCCTGTTTTTGTTTTGATCTAAACAGCATTATTTGCTCTCCGAGTGAAAACAGTACACTTTTCTGCAAACACAATATTTTTTCGTGAAGTAGCAACTCTTTTTTGTATAGTTTTTATTGGTTTGTTCGAGATTTTGCTTATTCCTATCACTGAGCGTATTAAAATCTATATATTGTTTGTTAAACCTTTTAACTTAAAAAATCCCTTTAGTGTCAGTACTGTTTATACATTTATGCATTTAACAACTGAAATTGAATGTCTAGATAGTTTCAAACCAGATGCATCCTTTACAGAAGAATCATGAAATATAAGTATGAGCTTTCCATAAGTATATACAAGAAATATAACAGTTGCTACAGTTGATAGAGAAGAGAGATACAAGAGGCAATTCCTTCAACACATAAACTGGGTCTTCTGTTGTAGCTGTCAAAGACTGTTCCAGTCCTAACCACACAGTATTTGCCATGGCTGGCTTACTATTATAGTCCTTCTTAAACTCTGGAATAGCATTTGACAATCAGCCTGGGCTATTTCATGATGCAATGCTAATTCTTTTGGTAAAGGAAATCGTTATATTTGACTAACAAATTAAGCACTGAAATTTATTTCAAAGATATGACAGTGATTTCTTTGTACCATTCATAGAATTGCACAGTAGTATTAATTGACTTCATATATGTTGCTGTATATTTTCTGTTCCCCTTTCCCTAGTCAGTGTTCCTATTGACTAACTTTCTCATATCTGTGCAATGGTAAATTCAGATGAGAGACCAACCCATAAATGATTACTGCACTTATGTCCTTCAATAAAACACTTCGATGGATTTTCATTTCCATACACATGCAGATGCACACAGACACACACACACACAGTATACATATATATCTTGGAATAAAAGCTTGTAATCAGTGGTTACCATGCATGGAAATAATTTCCCATAAAGAAAGCAAGCCATCTGTTCTCATTACTCTGAGTTACCTTTCAACACGTTTACCATCTCTGTTACTGAAACCATACAGAGACAGTATTGCTTGTTTCCATACTGTTTTGTCATATTCTGTTTCGCTTTTTAGTTTCAATAATACATCATTTCTGAGGTGACATAACCCTGCTTATATACTTGCTTCCTCACGATGAGACTGATCTCTTTCATAAAATGTTTTATATCATAGGTAACACTATATTGTTGCTTCCTTTTACTTTTGAAGACTGACACTCTTTTCCACCAGACTGAATTGGTGGATGCTTCAGGGATTATTCAAATGTTGGGCACTATCAGTAAGAATACTTTCTTTCTCATGCCACTATCCTGTCACAAAGCATACATTAAATCATTACCATATAATGCAACTATCAACCACAACTATTAGTTATATCATTAATACACCATAGGAAATATACCTATCCCTGTTCAGCACAGTTAACATTAGAATAATTGTTCTGGATTAGTTCCTTTTTCTTCATTACTCATACTGCTAATGCCTTTTGCCATAGTGGTTAAAAAAAATAAATAACGGCAGTATTTTTTTTGTTAGTCATTCATTAAGAAAAATGTGGTTGAATATATGTCTCATGGTTTTATAGGCTTTTGACTCCTCTGCACAAGGAGGATGAATCCAGGACATCTGTCAGATATTATACCATAGACTCTGCAAAAATTTATCAGAAACTAGCAGATTTCACACACAGTAGCTCTTTGTGTGTCAGTGATTAATACAGTTCAGGGAAAGAGCAGTGATGAAACAAATTCTTATAGTAACACAGACCTGTCTGTTGGGCTCTAGGTACTACTGTGAAATGGACTATAGACTCCAATTGCTACTGGTCTTAGACTCTTAATCATGTCCATGTTATGAAAAGAAAAGATGTTAATGTGTTCATATGGAGATCAACATCATTATGCTCATATTGGACAAACTGACTTGCACCTATTGTTGCATCCAAATAAGGAATGGTATACTTCTCATGTTTCAGTATATGAAGAACAGAAGCCATGACAAAATAAACTAATCATTTGGAATCCCTAAAGTGAAATAACATTGCTAAACATTTGTGAAACTACACAATTTGAGAATAATTTGTCTTTAGTTATTTGTGTGATAGTTATAGCAACTACTGAGAAAACACTTTTGTCTTTGTTGTGTAGTGAGAGTTCTGAAAGTTCTGCAGTATAAGCATTGTTTTTCTTCTGCAGATGTTATTTATTCAATCAGATGCTTGAAACATCTTCACATAATTTTTTAATTAGTTTAGCTGCTGTTGCTGTGATTTCTACATCAGCACATTTTTCCTATAGTGTTATTGGAGAAAGACTGAAGCATTTTTTAATATTACCTCTATTGTTTTCTACCTGCTAAGTCAGTGATTGCAATCGTATTATTGAGCTGTTCTTGAACTTTATTCTTGGAGTGCTATCCTGAATACCATCAGAAAGTGCTCAGATCTTCCTTGTTCTTTTTAATTGAACGTGGTATGAATTTTTTTGTTTCTCAAAAGTATACTCAAATTATTTTGTACATTTATTCCTCTTGGCTTGACTCCTTTTGTGTAACTGCCACATTTTAGCTGAAATTTCATCAATCAGCATTGACGCTATGTGAAAGTATTTTCTGAATCCTGAAATTAATCTGGCATTATTTGTGCCGTGCTTATAGATTATATATATTTTTGCGGAAAAAAGTCAACCTTGTCCACTCTGATTTTAGTTTTTATTTCTGATACTGCAAAAGTGTTGTATATTCATGAAAAATAAGCTAAATGACAATTAACTCCTCTCCACTAATTTTTCCACATGGCTTCCTAACCACAAGTAAATGTGTTCAACAGAAAAAAAATAACTTATGTACATAGTTTGAACTGTTTTAACATTTATGTATAATCAGCATGTTCTATCACTTCCGCATTGTACACTGTGGCTTCAGTTAATTAATTAATGCCATCATTCCACCCTACGTCATATTACTGTGATTTTTTTGTACGGATTCTTGTGACAAATCTGGACATCAATGTTTGGCATCATATAGAAGTGAAAGGTTCATACTATCCGAATGATTTTTAATGTTTTTTTTCTGACTTTGAAATACAGCTATCAAATTATGAGCTAAACTGAAACGATAACTCAATGCTTAATAAGTGGAATACAGGATCCACAAAATACTTGACAGATTAAACTAGAAGCATTCAGTCAGTTTAGTAGATTGTGGATTTGCCTTATGCTTTGTTACAGGTTCAGTAGCCTTTTTCCCCCTTTTAAAAAATATACTGTATATCTACTGAAAAGTAAAAAGCCTCCAAAGAATTTCAAACCAATCATTATCTTCTTTTGTACTTCTGTAATTTTTTGGTTCATGTTGCTGGTAGTTAAAAAAGATTTTCCTGTACATTCTAAAGTTGGTGGAGTATGTGTATGTATGTACAGTATGTGTACAGACATACATTTTGCAGTCATTTAAGCCCTTAAATATAGAATCAATTTGTTGACATAGTGGTGTAGAGGGTAAGGCATTGACTACAAATCAAGAGTTCTAATCCTGCCTTAGGCACAAAAGCCAACTGGCTGATCTTGGACCAATCACTCACTCTTTCATCCTTAGGAAGGAGACAGTGGAAAACAACTTTTGAAAAACCTTCCACGAAAACTACATGGACTTGTTCAGACAATCAGTAGGAGTCAAAAATTGATTCAAAGTCACATGCATGCAAATACAATTCCTTTGAATTGGTGTGAGAATGATATACATGTAGTCCTCGACTTACAACAGTTCATTTTGTGATCATTCAGAGTTACGACAGCACTGAAAAACATGACTTATGATCAGTTTTCACAATTATGAACATTGTAGTGTCCCCATAGTCAAGTGATCAAAATTCAGACGCTTGGCAATTGACTCATATTTATGAAGGTTGCCTTGTCCTGTGATCCCGTTTTGCAACCTTCTGACAAACACAGTCAATGGAGAAGCTAGATTCATTTAACAACCATGTTAATAATTAACTACTACAGTGATTCACTTAATAACTGTGGCAAAAAAGGTCATAAAATGGGGCAAACTCAATTAACAAATGTTTCACTTAACAACAGAAATTTTGGGGTCAGTAGTACAACAGTTCTGTGTGAGACAGCATAAGCCAAAATGGTCAGTGGCTGCAGTTGCACATCTCTCCTACAAATTGATGATGCAGACTTGCTCACTTCATTGGATTGGGTTAATCCTTATGAGAACAGAATTAGGGTAATAATTTCTCCAATCAGATTGTGAACTTTCTCCAGATTGAAGGGAAAGTTTTTTAAAAGTGTTCTTATAATTTACTCTTTGTATGTAAATCTAATTGTAAACCTAAAAACTGCAAATCTTTTAAATAGTAAATCTAACCTTCAGAAAATCATTTATTATCACTTAATTGTGAGATCAGTTAGCACTGGGCCCAATTAGAATGTAGGGACAAGGATTAAAGAAACAAAAGGTAGCCTTCATCATTTCAAATACCTTGTAAGTATCAGAATTAACTAATTAGAATCCAGAATAGCTGGATAAACAATTGTCAATTGGATCTATTAATTTCATATTTTCTAACATTGGAACTCCTAGAATCAACTGTTATTGATCTACAAATTTTACACAGCTATTTACCAACCATTTTGATTCATACATGAATCCTAGCAAAGACAGAAGTTTTTTTGGGGAAACCCTTTCATTTGTAGAGGCAATAGTAGGCTTCCTTCACTGTCCTCACAATTATGGTGAAATTCTCCAAATGGATGATCTCCACATGGACTTTAATCCAGATTCAAATGATTTATTTATTTATTTGTTGGTTGATTTCAACATTTGTATAGCTGTCCATCTTAAACCAACTCTGGATGGCTTCCAACCAATAAAACAATACAGGTAGTCCTGGACTTAAAACAGTTCATTTAGTGATCATTCAAAATTACAATGGCACTGAAAAAAGTGACTTATGACCATTTTTCACAGTTATGCTTGGCAATTGACTCATATTTATGATGGTTCCATTGTCCCAGGATATGTGATCATCTTTTGCAACCTTCTGACAAACAACATCAATGGGGAAGCCAGATTGACTTAACAACTGTGGCAAGAAAAGTTGTAAAATGGGACAAAATTCACTTAACAACTGTCTCGCTTAGCAACAGAAATTTTGGGCTCAATTGTTGTAAGTTGAGGACTACCTCAGTTAACAAAACTGAAAACAGAAAAACCTGATGCCCCAGCCATACATCTCTGATACATCCACATTCTCGACCTCGCCCTATGCCAAGTGCAGGCTTTAAATACTCTCCAAAAGGATAGAAAAATAAGGGCCTGTTGGATCTTAGTGGGAAGGGTGTTTCACCGGACAAGGGGCTACAATGGGAAAGATTTACCTTCCTTCCCCAGCACTTAGCCCAATGTCATTGCCATTTCTTGTCTTTGGAACCTTAACTTCCATTAAATCACCTTTTCTAAAATAGATAGTAATATGTCACAAACTACATTAAATATCTGGTATGTACATCTATCAAATTCAATCCACTTGTGTGCAGAGTGTTTGAATCAAATCTTGAATTCAAAACACTTTCAAAACTTTTGAAAATGGCACATGTTGTACTCAGAACCACTGTTCTACATTCAAAATGGGTGCATCAAATTTAAGCGGGTTTAATTCCAAGTGTTTTGTGCATCTTGACAGTTCGTATATTAGTTTTACAAACTTAATGACAGTATTTTTAAGTTTTTTTTATTGCCTTCTTGTATTATATTTATTTGGTATGTAACAATTTGGCTTTCTTCATAAATGAAAAGTTCTGATTGGGTGGGAGAATCAGTAAAACGGGATAGCCTTTGAAACTAAGACAATTCTTAATTTGTATGAGAAGTGGAAGTCACTCTGTTCTAAATAAGCCAGTTATTTTATATTTGATCAGACTTTCAGTCTTTCTCTGCTTTTACTTATTGCAGACATAACCCTAATGTGCATATATGGTATAATGATAGAGTTTTATTCCTTAAATAAAACTACATGCAAACAGGTATTCCTTGACTTACAATGGCAACTGGGACCACAGAAATTGCTGTCAGTAAGTGATGCGGTCATAAAGCACAGCTGCCATGCTTAGTGACAACAATCCCTGCAGTCTCGGTTGCCAAGCACAGAGGGACTGGTGTGTGTGTGTGGTGGAGGACTTGCAACCTTCCCTGCTGGCTTCCCCATTGCCTTTCTGAGGAAGCCAACAGGGAAGGTTGCAAATGGCGATCAAGCAGTGGGATGTTGAGATGGCCAGAATTCTAAGGATCAGTCGTTAACCACCATTTGTTCAACGCTATTGTAACTTCAAACAGTCACTGAACAAATGGTCACAGGATAAGGATTATGTTACCTGTTGTTGGTCATTTACAAGCTCAAGCATAAAGTGTCTATTAACAGTAGGATAACCATACTAAAATTTTCACTAAACAAATGTCCACAATCTGATTGGTGCTTAATAATCTTAACTGCTAGATATTTTTCTGTTTGACTACTGTTAGGTTGCCAATACTTCTCAAAGCATGTATTCAAGCATCATTTAGACTGTATTATTTTGGTGTTTCCAAAAATACAAAGATTTATTGAAGTTAAAAAGGGGTTTTATTTTCCAGGATTGTATACAACCAATTAGTAATAGTATATTTGTTATATTTTAGGCTAAGTAACAAGATGGCCAAAGGAACCGATCATGAGATGAGGAATCTTTCATCTCCAGCCTCACAATCCCTCAATGATGAAAGTAAGTGGTATGTCAATGGTTTTCCCTTGGTTTTATCTAATAGAACTTTTATATACACAGTGTGATATACAGCAGTTTATATAAAAAATATTTATGTAATTTCTTTAAGAAACCTCATATAAGTTAAATATTGAGTGGAGAAGAAAACTAATTCAAGCTACAGTGATTAAACAAGTGACTAATCATATAGATAAATTTATTTGAGAATTCTCATTTACTGTGTAAAGGTTAGGGTTTTTTGTTTTTGCATTTATTTATAGTTGATTTATACATCCCCACATCTAAAAAATAGTGGTTCTGGGCAATAAACACAGGATTAAAGTCAGTAGAACAAAAGGAATCCAAAGGCAGTCAGAATCCAGCCATAGTCACGTGAGAAAGCTGCAATGATGAGCTTATCCAACCTACAGGTCCCAACATCCACGTTTTCAAGGATTTACAAAATACCAATAGGGTTGGGTATTACCACTATTAATCTCACGTTTCTTTTTAGAATATATTACCCCATAGTATTTAATTTTCAAAGCTACAGTTGAAGCAAATAGGTAAGCCCACTGACTGTTTCTGAACCATCAAATTAACAAAAAACAGCATGAGGATATCAGCAATTTAATACTAAAATATGACCTCATTCCCCATTCCATATTTAGTATTTTTATTTGGTACCTACTTGTATCTAAGAATAGTGCTATATGTTTTCTCATCCTGTGAGATAGGTGAACAATTGTGTTCTGCTATATTTAATTTTAGTTGCTCCTAATACCTAATTAGGCAGGACAAATAAAGGAATCATGTTGATTTTAAAGTGAACTGCTATAGAAATGAATAAATTAAAATCAGTGAACATATTTCATTTTCTAAAAAGAAAGAGCAAACAGAACTCATGCACTTAAGAGTCTTAGCAAAGATGAATTCATCCATCAAATTACTGTCCTAAAGTCACTTTGTATCCCAGATATATTAAGTTCAGTATTACAATGCATGTATTTACAGCCCTTGAAGCATACCAAATTCTTATTCACTAACCAACTTTATAGTTGCACCAAAGTAATAAATGTACAGAAATATTAAAGATAGAGAGATTTTTGCCTTTGTCTTTTAAACAGTATACTTTAGTTCTTTCAGAATAGCTGAAATGAAAGAGGTTTGTGAATTATTTTGAATTTATTATCTTGGCTGATGGAGTAAAATTGAAAGCACACTTCATTTTCAAGATAATAAAGTTGCTATTTCAGTATTCAGAAACTATAAGCTATTAGTATACTTACTGATATGCTTAATCTTGTGATTGCTACTTTTCTTTTCTCATGCCACCAAATGATTTTATATATTACTCCTGTTTTATGCACAGGTAGTATTTCCTTCTCCATAATGCTACTTAACTCCTTGGCTTTGGGGTACATAAAGTATCCTCATTTATTTCTAACCTCTAAATTCCCGCAAATCCTTCTTAATTTTGAATGACTTTGCTACTTTTTTTATTTGGTTTTGGGTCACTCATTTATTTTAAATGATCAAATTTACTCTGACCAATTTACTTTTTTTATTCAATTGTGTCTGATTCTCTGAGACTGCCTGGACAAGTCCTTACAGTTCTTGGCAAGGTTTTTCAGAAGTGGCTTGCCATTGCTTCCTTCCTAGAACTGAAAGAAAGTGACTATCCCAAGGCCACTCAATTGGCTTCAGAGCCAAGGTGGACTAGAATTCATGGTCCTCTAGTTTTTAGTCTGATGCCTTCACCACTACACCAAATTGTATATATAAGTGCAAATAATATTTGTTATTCCATTTTAAGTGTGTTTTCTCTGGTTTGTTTCTTCAGTTTATTCTGTAACAAAATAGCAAGCTTTAATTTTTTTAAAATTTTCTCTCACATCTTTTTTGCACTGTTCAACCCAAAGGCATTGTGAAAATGGATAAAAATTAACCAGAGTTATGTTCTCTTCTCATGCAGTTTGGCATTGTTCTTCAGAAATAACTTATTTTCCTGTCTTAGCAACCAGGCTAAATGTTTAAAACAAATATAAATCAAGATAATAAAGTAAGGTGTAATCTTTTCCCTAAGTGGAAGAAAACTGCCACCTGCAACAGCTTAGTTACATTTAACAATTGAACACAGTAGGGATGTTAAATATGTAGTACAAACTCTTAATATTTTGCCATTTAAAATTAACATTTCCTTATTTCTGTATGAATACCCTATAAAAGTATAGCTTTGATGCATCATATTAAAAGTAAGATAATGTTTTTCTTCTAGATTATTGATTTTGTGGTAATTTGAAACTCAATAAATGTGGATGGTTCCATTGCCAAGAAAGCAGTTAAGGGTCACATTTTCAGAAATATTAACTTTGCCTACAAAGAAATAGGAACACTTTTAAAACAGATGGCTGCTTATACACATTGACATTTTCCTTAAACATTATTCTTAAAAATAACGAGTATCACCCAATTTGCAATCAGTTCCAGTTCCAAAATGACTAGCAATAAATGTAGATCTGTTTGTTCTATTTTTTTTAATTTGAGGCTTCTGCACTGACTAGAGATTTAATTTCATGCCCTAAATTTATGGTTTTAAGTTTACAGTAAGTTGTTTCTATCTATAATCTCTTCAGGAGTTAATTATGCTATCATCAAACATAACGGTAGCAAATGAAATGAAGAACCTTCAAGTAGAAGGTAAATTATAAGGATATGTTTGTTACCAAAATTATTCAGTGACAATCATTCTGTAGAATGAAAATATCCTCCTGTATAGTGTTAAAATGTCAATATATAACATTTTTTATAACTCAACTGTTTTTTTCTCTCCCACCTCTCCTCACTCTGGAAATAATGATTTTTCCATAAATATGGGGAACATTCAGTCATAGCTAATAGTTGTCGTCCATTTGGCCAGGTTTGAGTATTCTTAGCGATATATATTTAAGCAAGAACTGCTCTCTCCATTAAAACATGGAGAACATTATGCATACATCATTTTTTTATGCATAATGCAATTCTGAGGGCTTACTGTTTCATTTACATCTGGAGAACAGTGATATTACACTAAGTGATGTCAATGTAAGACAATTTAAAGCAGCATTTAACCTTCCTAAGATAAAGTACATAGTTTTTTTGAATACACTCCCGTATACAAGATCACAGGTAGTCCTTGCTTAATGACTGTTACTTAGTAATCATTCAAAGTTACGGCAGACCACCTAAAAGCTACTTATGACATGGTTCCAGAGTTATAATGGCTGCACACACCCCTGTAGTCCCATCGCATTTCAGGTGCTTGGCAGTTAGCTCGCCTTTATGGATGGTTGCAGCATTCCATGATCATGCGACTATGATTTATGACATTTTTTGCCAGTTTCCAGCCTTTTTTGCCTGGTTTGCAATAAAAAATTATTTGTATTTAATAACCATAGTGTTTAACAACCACCATATTCACCTGACCATCGTGTTTAACAGCTGGAGCAAAAAAGTCATAAAATCAAGGTTCAGTTTGTGGATGCTTTGACTTAATGATGGAAATTCTGGGTTCCCCCATAGTCCTAAATGAAGGACTATCTGTATATTCTTTGCAGAAAAAAAGACTATTTTTTTGAAATAAGGAAGGAGGAGCTCACCCCTTATTTGTTTGCATTAGGATGTAATCTGATGTCTACACCTATTTGGGACTACTACATATATAGTTTTAGTATGTAGTCTGAGTCTAAACTATCTTAGATCCCCCAAAATCTAGTCTAATTGTTGTATCACCCTATCTGACAGGAATTCTGGCTAACTTGAAAATCTGCACATTTTTACTACTATGTCTTTTGGATTTCTTCATTTGCTTTGGTCATGTATGTATATTACTATTTTTAAAGTTCTAATCCATTATTGTTACTTACGCATTTTATAATACACAAAAAAAAGCAAGGCTCCATTTTTAAGTAGCCAGAAGGTCCTAAATATTTTTTTTTACAAAACAAATCATGCCATTTGAATAAAAACATCCACAACTAGGGTAGTAACAGTCTGTCTAACATTGTTTTTGACTTCAGGTACCATAGGAAGTGAGGAACCCAGCAAATGCTTGCTTGGAGTCTCTGAGAGTGAAGTTGATTCAGCAACATCACTTGCCTTAGAAATGAAATATGCATTGGATCCCAATCGGCAAATCAAGAAAAGAAATAAAGCCCTACAGGTGAGATTCAAAGACATCTGCGAGGCCCAGAATGAACAAAGGGACAAACAGCTCTCTTTGTTACAGCAGCCTGACCAAAAGGAAGCAAAACCCATCTCTTACAGAGCAACTTACAGAAAATACATGACAGTGCCTGCCCGAAGATCAATCCCGAATGTTACTAAAAGTACAGGAGTTCAGACTTCGCCTGAACTTAAAAAGTGTTACCAGACCTTCCCTTTGGACCGGAAAAAGGGAAATGTAATCAAAAGCATAGCTTCAGTGGACACTTTTCCAAGTCAAAACAACGGATTCCTAATTGATGTTAAAGAGAAAGACAGCAAAATCTCAGGAGAGGCTATTCAGTGTAGCAAGAAAGTCACTGGATTTGTGACAGCTGAATTTATTTCACATACTAATGAACGCATGAATGCAATAGAGCCGCTTTCCAAGGACAACTGTTTGGAGACATGTATAAGCACTGATTTGCACAGCTGTAGTAAAGAACCTCCTTCTCTACAGGACTCAGCAGCTTCAGTTTTAGAAGAGGCTGATTATCAGCTGCATGACAAAGCAAAACACCACACTGGGCCATTGAGGTATGAGGAAGCTAATCCAGCTAGCCAAGGAAAAGTGTTCAAGACAGAAGTAGCTTCTGTCTACTTGCCTGCATCTGGTTCACACACCTCACTGGCTGACCAGCAACATTTTGCAGCACCAGGGAATGACTGGTCCCTGTGTCCAGCCGATGAGGAGGACAGAAAAAGAACTCTGCATCTTAATGGTCTGCAGTCACAAGCTGTAAGTACAGCTCAGGCCTATTCCACACAGGCACAGTGCCAGTCTACCCTATGTAACGAACAGACCCTTCAGGTAAATGTTTCACCTATGGAAGGAAAACAGCCTTGTCAGACAGCAGTTGCTATGAGTGAAGGATGTCAACAAATTGTGCCTCATACTGAAGTGGTAGATTTGAAAGCACAGCTACAGATGATGGAGAATCTGATCAGCTCAAGTCAGGAAACCATAAAGGTCTTGTTGGGTGTTATTCAGGAGTTGGAAAAGGGAGAAGCTCATAGAGAAGGGTAAGTTGTTTTTTTAAAATATATATATACATATACAAGAATCTCATTTGATTACTTTAATAATAATTATTCCTGACTCAACAGTACCTGAAAATTGTAATTTAGCATCTAACTTCACAGTTAGATTATTGCATTAATGCTTTATATGACCTTTCTATTTCAGTGCATCTCTAATGATCTCACAGTATGTGTGCTTTAATACAAAGGTACTTTTAAAAAACATGTTTCTGGTAACAACTGCTTTCAAATAATGTTAAAATTAAAATATATTGCTTACATATATTTGCCATAAAACAAAAGGGTCATGTTAAAACTAATAATATCTGCTATATGATTACCCAAGAACTCTTTCATTAATTATTTAAAACCAGAATAGACTAGGAGGCAACAAAAAACATTGCTCAGAATGCTGAAACTGCCCAAAAGAAAAGCATTAGTTCATAAAAATGAAGTGCAGAATATATTGTTCTGCATTCTATAAATGTTTTGAAAGTATTGCTCACAACATACTTAACAAGCACAGCTATTTACTCAGATTTATGTTTTTATTTGATGATTGCAATTTCTGTTCCTTTGCATCTCACTTACACTCTTTTTTGCCTTCTAAAAAATATAATGCCTATATTTGCTAGTCAATTCAGTGGTTGTATTTTAACAAATGCAACTTTCTATCTCCAACTTCCTGTTTTGTGTAGTTCATGCTTCCTCTGCTCCAGTAAACTTTCCCTCTTTGATTCATTTCATCATACCAAAATTACTAAGATGTGCTTTTTTCATTTTTGGCTTTAGAAGTTGCTTTCACCCCAAACAAGCTACTGATTAGTACATGTTAAAGATAACAATAATTATAAACATGGCAATTGTTCTATGTAATAACATTTGCTTAGCCAAAATGATTTACAGCACTTATTTAAATTTAAAACTATATCTATGTCCCAAGGACAGGCTATACATTTCAAGTACAGCAGAATTGATTCCAGTTGTTTCTAGATTTAACTGATCATTTATTTTGTGCATGCTCTTTTACATCTAATAGTGTAATTCAACCCTTTAACTATGTGTATTGAAACTCTTTAAGCTTTTCATATTTGTATTTCCATTATATAATGGCATTATTGTTTTGTTGCCTCAGAAAGGCTGAATGTGGGAGGAAATACAAGTATGGTACTGAAGAGGCCCTGTAGTTTGTGTCTTTCAAAGCAACAATTCTTAATGTTGACCTACTAGCAGAGATCCTATGGCTGATTATAGGATTTAGATTGATTTCATTATTGAAATTACCATGCAAAGTTAAAGGTTTTTGGCATATTTTTTCAGTAAGTAGTCAGGAAACTACAGATGCAACAGTATAACCCAGTTATATGGCATGTATAAATAAGGATTTACAGCTTCCTGTAGTATTCCTTGCTTTCTATTCCTGATGGAAAATAAACAACAAAGTCTTAAAACTAAGCTGGGAAGGACCAAGGTTCAGAATGCACAATTTAACATATAAAATGTAGCCTAACGAGACTTATTCTCTGATTAGTAGTTTCTGCTTCTTGCTAAAGATGCTTGTGGTGAAGGAAGCAGTATTTCTATTTCACGTGCTCGTTTATTGGCTGCTGTTATTTCCAGACAGACCAATTCCTTTTGCATCAGACCCATTGCAAACTATCATTTAAAAGAAAGTTTTAGTATATCCCTGGGAAGGATGGAACTACAGCTTTCCCCTTACATTTGGGGGAAAGGGGGGCAATTGATCTTTATTCATAATTGACTATAGAATAAAAATGTGAGGAGAAATGACATTGAGATTCAGAATGCAGACTAAGGACCGAAAAACATTAGGACACTAGGACAGATAAAAAGGAATATCAAAGCATTATGTGTTGTCAGAACTTCATAAATGTTTTCACCATTCATAGTTATGACTAGGCTGCTCGTGAATAGAGGTTTAAGATTCTTTTTTTTTTTCTTTTAAGCATAAAGAAGAACAAAGACCTACTTCCCTTGTTTATACTTAAAATGATATTCAAAAAGCAACAAGACTTAAAAGTGAATGCAGGCTGTCAATACTTAATTGTTTATATATTTGGTTATATCTCAAGTAAAGTGAACAAATTTACATATTATACAGAGAGAGAGAACAACAAATTGGTATAAATCAGTTTTTAGTTAACAACTAAAAATATTAAAATGATAAAACTAAAACATATAGGCTCTTATTTTTTTAACAAAAATATGTTTATGCTTGTGTGCATTTTATACTTATTAAAAATTACATTAATTTCTCATCTGATATATGGTATTATGCATCCATCTCAGCAGTAGATTACTCCCCTTCCTGGTGAGAAGCATCTTCTTTACAAGTTGCTGAAAAAACAGACCCTAGAACAGGGGTAGGCAACCTTGACTCTTTTATGACTCGTGGACTTCAACGCCCAGATTTCCTGAGCCAGCACAGCTGGCTCAGGAATTCTGGGCGTTGAAGTCCACGAGTCATAAAAGAGCCAAAGTTGCCTACCCCTGCCCTAGAAGATGCTTGTGCACTCTAATTTAATAGCATCTATGTCTGACATGAACTAAAGCATTTTAAACTCAATAGGTGAGTTACCTACTGCAGATGTAAATGTGGCCATATAGTTAAAAATAAATGAAATTATATATACTTTAGTCTAGAAGCTTCTACTCAAACCTATTCCTGATTATAAATTGAATTGGTTTGCCTGTGGAAGATGACCAACCACGAATATGACTTCAATAAAACCTTGTATTTTTCCTTCCCAGAATATATAGCCAGAGCCTCTTCAACACATTTTATATTCCTAGAGCAATGGAAGAAGAAATAGCAGAGAGCTCATGGCTTATGGTTTGATTCATTTTATTCTTTTGCTTAAATGAACAAAAATAATTTTCTTCAACATCATTTTATATTACTATAGCATTTTTATACCAGAAGAACCTATTGTGATTTTATTTCATTTTAAAACTATTTCAGTACCCAGGTACTTTTGAAAGGATAGAAACGAACCTTTGTTCTTTTAAAAATACTTTTATTAACATATGATTTGTTACAAATATAGGCTCTACTTCTAATGAAGAAAAGGATAACTTTGAAACTAAAAGGTAGATAGATAGACAGACAGATAGATGATAGATATATAGACAGACATACTGCAATGCAATGCAACAGAGAAAAATATAAATCCTGCTACTAAACACAGTCATGACAAAGCCTGCATAGGCTGGTGAAGGAATTATTTAGTAACACCAATTTATGTATTTATTGGATTTAAATCCTAACTTTTTTACTTAGCTTGCATTACCACTTCTAGATAATGTATGCAATTGGGATTCTAAATTCAATGGAATCCTTTTTAAAAAATAGAAAGTGAATTAATTATTTAGAAAGTCTGAAACTAACCTTACTTTAATTCTTAGGTAAGGGAATTAATATTATAAAAATGGCACTATATACCAAAGATAAGCAGTGCTGTACCACTATAAATAGACAATGAAGAACCACAAAATACAGCCAATTTTTCTTCTCTTTTCATAGTACTCTAGACCAGTGATGGTGAACCTTTTAGAGACCGAGTGCCCAAACTGCAACCCAAAACCCACTTATGCATCGTCGAGTGCCGGGTGGGTGTGGCCCATTGGCTGGGTGTTGCCCATTGGCTGGGTGTGGCCCATTGGGTGGGCATGACTGTAGTGGTAACGGCAGACTGGGTGGGACTAAAAAGTTCAATCAATTCCAACTTTGCAAGAACTTTTTTTCCCGCGAGTTGAAATTGACTGATTGAACCTTTTGTTGTTGTTGTTGCACACGGCGGCGGAGGCCTATAGTGAAAAGGTTTTATAAAACCCAGCTGAAGGCCTAGGACTGGGGTGACAGTGCGTGTGCCCACAGAGAGGGCTCTGAGTGCCGCCTCTGGCACCCGTGCCATAGGTTCGCCACCACTGCTCTAGACCATCTTCTTCCTCTAAACAGTGAATAGTCCAGATCATCACTGATGCTGGATCCGTACTAGCTTTTTTCTCGTGGGCCTGCCTATTTATTTATTTTTGCAAACCTTATGCTGATAACTTGATTGTTTTCATTGACAATGCTGTTTCAACAAAATAAGGGTAAACAATCAGCTGTGTAAGTGTGAGACTCCACTAATATGCTGAAATAATAACTTTTGTAGATAAGGATGGGGAGAGGGACAATGTGTTATATCACTTTCAAATTCTAATACATTTTCAACCCTAATTAAAAGTCTTATAGTTTCATTATTAAGCTCTATATGACTTGGTTCCTCTTTATTTTTAGGATTGTATCTTCCAATACAATCAACCCATTCAATGAAATATTCATGAGAGATCAGGGTTGCAGACCAGTAAGTTGTAATTATGGAACATCTCTGTGAGGATAGCTTGGTTCTTGATGGTATTTCAAAAGGCTTTGAAGATTGTCTTCTTTTAAATACTAGTTATACAGTCAGTTTACCATTTTAATTTTGTTCTTTTGCTGGCTTCAGATAATGTTTAGGCTGGTGCTATTCATATATCTTTCATTAAAATATATAATATATTTAATATAATTAATATATATAATAACATGTAATTAATGAATATAGTATTAGTATAATTAATATAATATAATATATAGTATAAAAATTATAGTCACAGGTTTTAAGGAGGCTCAAAGGGGAATTTTTTGAAGATTATTTCTTTTCAATCTCCTTAAATTGATTTTGATTAGTTAGTAAATCTATTGCTTAATAAATAATAATTACAAAGTAATAATAATATATTAAATTTATATGTCCTATAATTCCTTTGATTCTGGAATGTATATAATAAATATACATTTGCCCACTGACAAAGAAATGATTGGTCTACAATTGTAATGGTAGGTTTATTTTAACAGTGAGACAGAATAACAAAAAAAAAAAAATCCAGAAAAACGCATTTCAAAAAAGTTATAAATTGATTTGCATTTTAATGAGTGAAATACGTATTTGATCCCCTATCAATCAGCAAGATTTCTGGCTCCCAGGTGTCTTTTATATAGGTAATGAGCTGAGATTAGGAGCACTCTCTTAAAGGGAGGCTCCTAATCTCAGCTTGTTACCTGTATACCTGTCCACAAAAGCAATCAATCAGATTCCAAACTCTCCACCATGGCCAAGACCAAAGAGCTGTCCAAAGATGTCAGGGACAAGATTGTAGATCTACACAAGGCTGGAATGGGCTACAAGTCTATCGCCAAGTAGCTTGGTGAGAAGTTGACAACAGTTGGTGTGATTATTCACAAATGGAAGAAACACAAAATAATTGTCAATCTCCCTCAGTCTGGGGCTCCATGCAAGATCTCACCTCGTAGAATTTCAGTGATCATGAGAACAGTGAGAAATCAGCCCAGAACTGCAAGGGAGGATCTTGTCAATGATCTCAAGGCAACTGGGACCATAGTCACCCAAAAACCAATTGGTAACACACCATGCTGTGAACGACTGAAATCCGCAAGGTCCCCCTGCTCAATAAAGCACATGTATAGGCCCATCTGAAGTTTGCCAATGAACATCTGAATAATTCAGAGGAGAACTGGGTGAAAGTGTTGTGGTCAGCTGAGACCAAAATCAAGCTCTTTGCCATCAACTCAACTTGCCATGTTTGGAGGAGGAGGAATTCTGCCTATGACCCCAAGAATACCATCCCCACCGTCAAACATGAAGATGGAAGCATTATGCTTTGGGGGTGTTTTTCTGCTAAGGGGACAGGATAACTTCACTGCATCAAAGGGACGATGGATGGGGCCATGTGCTGTCAAATCTTGGGTGAGAACCTCCTTCCCTCAGCCAGGGCATTGAAAATGGGTTGTGGATGGGTATTCCAGCATGGCAATGATCCACAACACATGGCCAAGGCAACAAAGGAGTGGCTCAAGAAGTACATTAAGGTCCTGGAGTGGCCTAGCCAGTCTCCAGACCTTAATCCCATAGAAAATTTGTGGAGGGAGCTGACGGTTTGAGCTGCCAAACATCAACCTTAATGACTTGGAGAGGATGTGCAAAGAGGAGTGGGACAAAATCCCTCCTAAGATGTGTGCAAATCTGGTGGCCAACTACAAGAAATGTCTGACCTCTGTGATTACCAACAAGGGTTTTGCCAGCAAGTACTAAGTCATGTTTTGCGAAGGGGTCAAATACTTATTTCACTCATTAAAATGCAAAACAATTTATAACTTTTTTGAAATGCGTTTTTCTGGATTCTTTTTGTTATTCTGTTTCTCATTGTTAAAATAAATCTGATCATTTTTTTGTCAGTGGGCAAACGTACACAATCAGCAGGGGATCAAATAATTTTTTCCCTCTCTGTAACTAGCAAAATAATAGTGAGATAGACCAAAAACCCTATCATATATGAAAGCTCTCATGAGGGGAAAACATCTTCTTTTGAAGTGCTTTTTAATTCAGATGAATCCTAGCTCTAAATGTATCGTCACATTTAATATATCAATTGGCTTCTGTCTCTTTACAGGAAACTGAATAAGCCACTTCTTTCAAACTTTCAAATCCTTTCCATACTTATTACACCTATTATCTGATTAAATATTACATCTTGATCTCTGCAATAAACTCAATCTTTGATTTTTCTTTTGAGTTGGGGAGGGTGCATGTGACATAATTTAAAATCATTCTCTAATCCTACATTTTAAACTCAGAGAAAAATGTTCTCAACACAATTATGCAATATAAGTATATTTAATCTTGCATTTTCCATTATATATATGAAACTTTACGCTTCTTAGAAGAACAGCTATTAACTGTAACAATTAACTGATCAGCTATTAAAACTTTTGTCCCAATCAGTATTTCTCTTCTACATAAATATTTACAGCAAAATATCTGTGAAAAACGTTACATAGGTCTACAAAAATCAGATTGCTGCTTTTTGCTGTCCCATTTCCCCTGCAAAATCCAGCTGGATTTTGAATCCTATTCCTACATAATTTTTTCACATGTATTTTTTCACAGATATTGTTCCAAGGGGAAAAACTTTATGTCGAAATCGGACCTTGACTATGTAATGAAAGCTTCTTCTCATTTGTTGAGACTTGACCCATTAAAGTAAGTCTTCTACTATCAGTGCTATCGGACTGTTATAAATAATAAATTATTACATCCTAGTTCACGTATTAGAAATAATCAGAAAGTCCATTATGTATAAGGGAACTAGTAAGATAAACAACTAAGGGAAAATATAAAATTGAATACAACTATTGTTAGAAAATTAAAGAAAGTAAAAGCATTGCTGAATTTTGCACAAAATTCAATACGATACAGAATGCTCTAGTTATAGTTTACTGGGAAATGACATAGTATATTGCTAAACTATACACTAGTTTCTTTTTACACAACTTTACTAACCCAGGAAGAGCCCAATTTGGATCTTAAGGTATCATAACATGCACAGGAACAATAGTATACCCCTGAATATTTCATACAGCACAGACTGATTGTACTTCTTCATGTTTTCGATTGATTGTGACAGCTAGGCTCAGGGATATGAGTAGTCCATCAAATTTCAATAAATTGTTCCTTTTTAGCCAGAATCTATCCTATAACATTGTTTGTCTATCCATTCCGGTAATTTGGATAGAGAGAGGGGGAATTATTTCCTTGAAAAATCTTGAAAGCCACGTACCAAATATTGGATCCAGAATTCCAAAAGAAAAAAAAATACTTCTTCAAAAATTAGAAACTGGGAGATGAAAGCTACTAGCTGACGTATGTTTAATGAATATTTATTATACTTCAATAAGAAGTAGAAAATGTAGGTTACATTGTTTTTTATTTTTTCCTCCTTCCTTTGCTTTCACCCATTTTTACCTTTAATTAGATAAAGATACATATAGAGAACATACTTTTTAACATTAAAGTCAGGATTTTTTCCCCACAAAGTAGCCTGCCTATAATTCTGTAAATGTGTTTTTAATAGATTTTTCATGAATGTAGATATTTTAAAGTTTCTTAGAGCTTGCAACAATTCACCATTCTAGACAGTAAATACTGCAAGTATATTTTGACATATTGTCAAGATATAACTACCATGCAAGTCAATTTTCTGTTGACTTTTTGCCTGCAATGGCTGCTTGTTTGACTGTTCTTTCAGTTATGCTGCCCCTTTTACTTTTACCATGAACTTTTCCCCTAGGAGTGAATTTCTTGTGGGGAAAAAAGCAGACCTTTAAAAAAATGTTATTGTTTCAAAACAAAAATGTTAAGCACAGATCTTCCCAGAAAACATTTAATGTCCTTGTACTATAGAAAAAGATTATTGAAAGTTTTAGAAGCTTTAATGAACTAGGTACGCATAAGTCTCAGAAATCTTCTCTCCCGTTATATTTAAACCAAGAAATCATTCAGTTCTGCGTATCAGTCTGAAAATTTGAATATCAGCCTGTCTAACTTAAGCCAAGCTGTTCTGGAATTTCTTTATTTTATATTATAGTTTGGGTTCCTGTTTTCATACACACACACACACACACACACACACACTATATATATATATATGTGTGTGTGTGTGTACACACACACACACAACTTTCTAAGATATTACCTTGCTAATTATTGTAGTTAGCACTATCTGGGAGTAAGGTTTGCATAAAGCATAATGTTCCGTCTGCCAAGGGTTATGGTAACCAAAACTATACTATTCTCCTTATTTGTATGTACTGTTGTTCGTAACTCAGTGTTTTGGACAAAAATAGATATCAGGCAATACGCAGCTTGGGTCAACTGAGCATTTTTTGAACAGAATTTTAGAGACTGTTTCTGTCACATGAGTTCAATTGCACACTGATAACTAGGACTATGCAGTGGTTCAGATTTGAAGGAGGAAAAATGGTTCATAACATGCATGAGCACATACTTAGATTCTGTGAGCAACTCCTTACAGCATCACTATCTTTTCCTAAAAAATACAGCCATATCATTGCAGTTAAACATGCTAATATTTTAATTAAATGCTGAGAGCTGCTACATGAGCATATGGTGTGCCCTAAAATACCTTCGTTCCTTCAATGTTCATGTTTGTTCTAATTCTTTCTCAGTGTCCAGCTTTCATAGCCGTATATTACCATTAGAAAGCCTTAAATATTTTGATCTTTTGTGCTCATAGAAATAACTTTAATCTTCATGTTCTTGTTTAAGCCCTCCTCCCTAGAATTAATTTCCTCTTTACTTCTCCCACATAATTTTCATCTTTACTCATGAGCCCAAGAAAACAGTATTACCATCTTCTTTGCCAGCAAAGGTTGGCATTACTTTTGTTGCCCTAACGTTTAACATTAACCTATATTTTTACATTATTTATCTTCTAAGTTACTTTCAGATAATGAAATGGTGTTACAGATTTAAATTGTTAATATTGCAGCCTCTAATTTTGACTCTATCTGCTATTTCTATTAATCTTTCCATTGCTAAAAATGTATTTGCTATATAATTTAATACAGTAGTACCTTGGTACTCAACTGCTTTGAAACTCATTGAATTTGTTACTCAACACATTTTGAAGTGTAAATTTTATCCAGGTACTCATTGTTTGTTTGATACTCAACATGCAAGCTAGAACTTGTCAATGTCAGCTGCTTTGTGACTCACTACATTATTACTTATTGGAAAAATTTGTTTGGTACTCATCGATTTTGGTACTCAACACGCCTCCCAGAGCTAGTTAACGACCAAGGTACCATTGTATGTCATATAAATTTGGGGCAATATATATCTGGCCTCACCTTCTTTATTTTCTCTTTCCCCCCCTTTCCCTCTCTCCCTCACCCCAAATCAGTTCTTACAGTTACAATACAGCTCTTTAATTAAGAGAATTTTTAAATTCCAAATAAGTAAATGTGTTTATAGGCTATCTAGAAACATGCACAATATGTGCACCTGCATACACAGAATCATTGGATAATTTAATAGATAATACATGATGTGCTGGAAGAATGTTGTCAAATATTTATCCAGCTTTTGAAGTATCATCCCAGGAATTACATTGATTCTGCTGAACATTAATAGGATTTCAGATTTTACATAATTCTAACACTGC